TTTCTTTCTTTCTTTCTTTCTCTTCCTTCCTTCCTTCCTTCCTTCCTTCTTTCCTTCCTTCCTTCCTTCCTTCTTTCCTTCCTTCCTTCCTTCCTTCCTTCCTTCCTTCCTTCCTTCCTTATTTCCTTCTTTCCTTCCTTCCTTCCTTCTTTCCTTCCTTCCTTCCTTCCTTCCTTCCTTTCTTCCTTCCTTCCTTCCTTCCTTCCTTCCTTCCTTCCTTCCTTCCTTCCTTCCTTCCTTCCTTCCTCCTTCCTTTTTTCTTTCCAAATTCCCATCCAGGCTCTTATTTTTACTCCTATGTACTACTTCTCTTCATCTTTTTTTCTAAATTGTAAAAATATGTAGTATACCTAGATACCAATGAAAGTGATTTTACTTGAGCTTGTATAAAATCTTTCATCAGAAATTTTATGTGATGATACAGGAAGAAAAATAGTAACATGGAGGGAAGAATGCTTTAATTATGTTTATTTCCAGTGCAATATTAACAACAGACCAATGAGACTATACAACTATAATAACTGACAATAACAACTGACATTTATATAACACTTTAAAGTGTAAAAAGTGCTGCCATTATCACCTCACAACAACTCTACAAGTTAAACACACTAGAGGTATCTCTACTTTCCAGATAAAGAAATATGGTTACATGTTAAGTGACTTGTCCATGACTACAGAGCTAGTGTCAGAAATAAGATCTGAACTGTGATCTTCCTCATTCTGAGTCCAGAATACCTTATAAAGACTTCAAATTTTAAGGAAAAAAAACACAAAAATACTAAAGACTATTCTTTGCTTCTACTCCCCATTAGGGTTTTTCTTACTTTAGAAGAAATTTGTCTTAGAAAATATAACATGCTCTTATCCTACTTGTGTAAACTGCTAATAAAACAAATCACAAAGTATTTTTTGTCTACTTAAATAGAAGGAGATCCATGGTGTAATGAAAATAGTGCTGTATTTAGAGTCATCAGACCTGATTTGGAGGTCCAATTCTATGGGAACTGGGACCAGTACATAACCGCTATAGCCTTCATTTTCCTTATCTATAAAGTAAAGAGAACTGTGACTCATCTAAGACCTCTAGGTCTCTTCCAGCTTTAGACCTGTGATCCCAGTGAATCAAAAGGAAGTGAAAGTTGAAGCAATTGAATGGATTAGACAATCCTCCACTCACTTGGTTGAAAGCAAAATTATGGTCTGTATTACTGGTTGAACAAATTTCATTGTGACAAATATAATTATAACTATAAATCAATGAATGAATAAACACTAGCCCTCCAAAAAAACTTTTGCATAACAAGATTTCCAAACACCAACTAATGACCTACTTCATTTCAAGCTCTATTCAATCCCTCCTCAAACTCTTAAGTTCAATAAAATAATCTGGACAAACCATTAGATTTTTTTGTAAAAGGAACTAAATTACTTCATGTAGAATAGCTGTTCACATTCATTTCCATTTTAGGCCCAACTAAAAGATATTTTCCCCACTTTGGAAGATTATTATGGTTTCTGAAGTATTACTGACTCTTATGGAGTGCTAGTCTCCCCCAAATAATTTTTCTTAGGCGTCTTTCTCTTTGCCTTTCTTCTTGTTCCTCATTTTCTGATTTGGGTTCATTGAGGGTCCCGTAGACGGCAGAAGCTTCCCTTGGGGTCAGCCAATCCAAGGTGGCAACACAGGCAATGTAATGACGCTTCCAAGCACCGTACTCATTTTCTGGGGGATCGTAAGGTAGAAACCATCCAAACCTAATGCACTTTGGCCTCCACAAGCAATCCTTCAAACAAAGATACACAAGGGAAAGAGAGGCTGTCATGTTTTTTCTTCAACACCAATCTTCAGATAACAATATTTTAAGATTCACAGGGAATTTTTCCCCCATTACACATAGAGTTCTTTCACAGGCCTCATTAATTCAGCTTCCCATTATCTCATAACTTGCTATGCTTCTGAGAATAGACTCCACCCTCTGGGATAGGAACTGAACCTTGTTTGTTCTGCATCTGTGATGGTGCCGTATTGGTAATCTCCATCTCCATCTCCCTCATTTATCCTCCCCCATCCAGAATATTTTATTCTCCTGACCCTAGAATTTAGGGAACATTTAAAAATGCCTTCAATTTAGGGTTCAAAATAAATAAGTGTGCATAGTTCCCCTTCAACCATTCTAGGGTTAAATTAATCTGCTCTCTGAGGGTCCCATTACAGATCTTCCTTAAAAAGTGTATCTATTTTAAATTAAAAAAAGTTTGCTTTATCACAGTGTAACACCTGTTTCTCTAGGCTCTCCTACATAGACTATAGACTCTGTTGCTGTATCTTTAAGAGTTAAACAAAATGTTGCCGAAAAAGCAGTTTGGGCTGGTAGTTTAGAATGACAGTTTAAACTGTCATTCTATGAGCTGCTTCTTCCTAATGAGTTGGAGAGAATGTTATGTTCCTTTTTTTTTTTTTTTGATTACGAGGAACTACAAGTTAAACTATAAAGAAGACAGAGACAAAGAAGTTGGGGAAAACTTTCTTTCTTGTAAGAACTATCAATTGATATTTTATGGTAAAACATAAGAATTCTCTGAAAAGTCTGTGAGGAATTTTCAGTTATAGTGTATTCTGGAGAAAATGCTACCTACCTATAATGACTCAGTAGAGAAAAAATAAAGAGGACCAACATAATTTAATTGCTGAAAGGCTGAATTTAACTTTCATCTTGAGAAAAAATATGAAGAATATTCTTGAGAGACTAATTAGTATCTTGAATGAAATGAATAATGGAATTATGTTTCCAAAAGTAAAGAATCATCTGTTGTTAGAGTGAAGGTTTTAGGTAATTGTCCCTATAATCTTTCCCATTGTCAAAAATATGATACATAATTATATCTTTTGTTATTGATTTAATTTGTTAATAAATTACACATCTAATAACTTTAACATTCATTTAATGATGGGAGATTAAGGGTTTTAATATGTAAATTACAGACTACAAATTTATGGTGATATATGAGTAACTATGAAGAGTCAGACATGACTGAAAACAACAAACAAATGAGTACTATTGGGAAAAGAGGCTTCTGTAGTTTAATAAACAGCATTTATTGACCTGGGGAAGAGGATCAAGCCAATCAATTAATTATTGAGAAAGAGGTCACAAGTTCATTAATTCTTAGGAAAACACTAAACTATACCTAAATAAGCTATATCTATATCTATAAACTAAACGATTATTCTAATGCTTGAAATAATAAAGTTAAATATAGGAACATGTCAGGTGTCAGGCTAAGGAGTAACCTAGATGTGAGGTGTGGTTTATTCCATAATACTTAATAAAACAGCATTTTAAAAATTTGAAAGAAATAAGGGCACAACAGAGTAGAAGCAGGAGTTATGATGGAAGACATCAATTTTATGCCACTGTGGGCAAGCTTCTTCTAAGTTCAACAACTTGATAAGCAACTCAAATGACCTAGAGCTACCAATTATCAACAGATGTCAGGCAGGTAGAGAACAGTGGAAAGATTACTGCTGCCAAGCCATTTGGGCTTTACACAAAACTAATAAATTTAAACTGCTTGATGACATAGTATGCACACAATAAAATACAGAAAAAAATGGAATAGAAATGATTTGTCATGAAGGGAAATTCCAGGGAAAAAAGGTGTCATCTATTTTTTTGAATGATATTTCCCCTGAGCTTAACATTTAACATTTAATGGTGTTTCCCATAACTAGGTGAATAGTTCATAAATGTTAATTTTGATTGGTGGAGGGGATTGTGCATCCAGGCTTATGATTCCATTGTTATAGGGAAATCCCAGCATTGAAATTTCCTCCACCAATTCAAATAAGCAAATCAACTTCTTGGAAATACTAATAGGTTAAGTTACTTGTCCATAGCCAAATAGTGGAGGTAAGATTGAATTTTAGTCTTCCTGACCCTAATTTCAATTCTCTATCCACTATGCAGCATGTTCTCACTTAACCTAACTACAAAGTAAAATACCATGTTGAGGAGTGAAATTTCAAAATTACTTTCCTTGCTCTGTCACTTACTAAAACTTTGAGTTTTGGCAGGTTACTTAACCAGGCTTCAGTTTCCTTATCTACAAAATGAGGGGAGTGGAACAGAAAACCTGTGAGATCTATTTGAGTTCTAAATCTATGATCCTATAAACCTGAGTACAAGTTTAAAAACAGTTTTGTTCCTCAAAATTTTATCACAGTACACAGGATCACAAAACAATGTTATTCAGACCACCAAAATATATAGCTGCCTTGACAGATAGATGTGTTTGTATTTTGTGACAAAGAATTGACAAGCCATAGATAGACCTGTTCAGTTAAAAACTTCCAAGGCCAGTTAACTTGTGCAGCAGCACACAAATCCATGGGATTCAGGAAGGAGAAGATGTACAGAGAAATGAAACGTGGCAACACTGTACAGAAATCCACTTTGACCACTGGAATCTTCTCAGAAAACCAGTCTTTGACAAACCTATAAAAAAGATACGAAAATTGAGTCTTTAGCACTGATATCCAAAACTGACTGTGAGGTTCAGATTACTTTTCTCACACTGCTTTTATACTTGAAGAACACATTAAATCTTAAAAAATAAAAATACTACATAAATATAACCAACTTTTAATTATCCACGATATCAAGTATAACTAATTTTTAAAAATACCATTTCATCCATTATTTCACCTCCCTCTAACAAATTTTCCATTGTAAGGAGGAGGTATTAAGTCAGTCAATCAATTACCCCCACCCTACTCTGCCCTGACAACTCAGGTAAGAATACCTATACTGAGTCAATAAATCAGAGATATGAACTAAGTGTAAGCAAAATCTAGATACTGCTATTGATTTGATCAATCAAAGGGTTTAGACTAAGTGTAAAATGTTTCTTGATCCATTTAGAAGTCCTTAAAAGCCTTTGGATGAGATGGAGAGACCCTATATAGGCAGCTTATTTGGATTGGTTGAGGACACTTGGTCACACTGGATGTGTTGTTTTTTTTTTTTTAATGTAAAATAGCAAGCCAATTAGGAATTCATTTGGGCAATGGAATGTGTAGAAACTTAGTCGTGGAAGCTGGTATAGCTTCCTCCACTGAGAAGGAACTCTTTGGGAGCCAGGGTAAGAGAGTGTCTCCATTTTTTCCCCCTACTTTTTCCTCCTGCTCCTGCTTTGATCTGAGGATAACTTTATGAATTTTGAAGAATTAGAAGTCTTGGGCATGGCTGTCATACCCTAGCAGCCTCCTCAAAACAGGTGATACGGTATGCTTTGGGAGCCAAGGTAAAACTAGACACAATGAGGAAAGCCAACTTCAAGTTTCTACAAGGAATGAGAAAACAACACTATACTGAAGCAAAACTTTTTAAGTATCCCACAAAGGGGAAGAAAAGACTTTCAACAACAGGAGCTGTGAGTCACCTCTTTGCTACATGTGCTTTTTAACCACAAGCCCTCTTTTCCCTGGAGTCTAAGGGTACTGTTGGGAGAGTATGTCACAGAATTTTTGGGGAATGTTCTGTACCAATTATTCTCACTATACCACCTTAATATGTCCCTCTCTAAAAGTTAATTAAGTCTAGTTGACTAACTGACATCAACTGCACTGGGGGCTTGTGATCTAAATAGCACTAGATGGATACCTCCAGCTCCTCAAAGCTTCCAGTAGAACCCTGAGGAAAGATGTAACTGCTATCTTTGTGGAACAAAATCAGCCAATAAGAGTGTGGGGTGGGTAAGTCCTGAGCATGTGCTATACTTACTTTTTCTTTTTCTTTTTTAAATTTATTTATCTTTAGTTTTCAATATTCACTTCCACAAGATTTTGAGTTCCAAATTTTCTCCCCATCTCATCCCTCCCCCCACCCCAAGATGGCATGCATTGTTAATACCCCTTCCCCTACCCTAATCTGCCCTCCCTTCTATCTCTCCCCTCTCTTCTCTTATCCCCTTCCCTTTCAATTTTCCTGTAGGACAGGATAGATTTCTATACCCCATTTCCTGTATATCTTATTTCCCAGTTGCATGTGAAAACAATTTTTTTTAAACATTTGTTTTTAAAACTTTGGGTTCCAAATTTTCTCCCTTCCTCCCTCCCCAGCCACCCTCATTTAGAAGGCAAGCTACTTGATACAGGTTATACATGTGTCATCATGCAAAACACTTCCATAGTAGTCATGTTGTGAAAAACTAAGTATATTTCCCTTAATCCTATTCCATCCTCCATTTATTCCATTCTCTCTTTTGACCCTGTCCCTCCTTAGAGGTGTTTACTTCTGATTACCTCCTCCCCCAATTTGCCCTCCCCTCTATCATCTCCTTGCTCTCTTGTCCCCCTCCCCCTCTATTTTCCTGTAGGGCAAGATAGATTTCCATACCCAATTGAGTGTGTATGTTATTCCCTCCTTAAGCCAAATCTGATGACAATAAGATTCACTCATTCCCTCTCACCTTCCCTTGTTTCCCCTCCACTGTAAAAGCTTTTTTGTCTGTTTTATGTGAGATAATTTACCCCATTCTACCTCTCCCTTTCTCCTTCTTCTAGTATAATCCTTTCTCACCCCTTAATTTTATTCTCCAGATATCACCCCTTCATCTTCAACTCACCCTTTGCCCTCTATCTATCTATCTATCTATCTATCTATCTATCTATCTCTCTATCTATCTATACATACATACACATAATTTTTTCCCTCCAACTACCCTAATACTGACAAAGGTGTCATGAGTTACAGATATCATCTTTCCATGCAGGAATGTAAACAGTTCAACCTTAATAAATCTCATGATTTCTCTTTCCTGTTTACTTTTTCATGTTTCGCTTGAGTCTTGTATTTGAAAGTAAAATTATCTCTTCAGCTCTGGTCTTTTCATCAAGAATGCTTGAAAGTCCTCTATTTCACTGAATGTCCATTTTTACCCCTGAAGGATTATACTCAGTTTTGCTGGGTAGATGATTCTTGGTTGTAATTCTATCTCCTTTGCCCTCCAGAATGTTATATTCCAAGCCCTGTGGTCCCTTAATGTAGAAGCTGCTAAATCTTGTGTTATCCTGATTGTGTTTCCACAATACTTGAATTGATTCTTTCTGGTTGCTTGCAATATTTTCTCCTTGACCTGGGAACTCTGGAATTTGGCTAAAATTATACTTCATTTTTCAACTCCTTATGACTAATTAATAAATAAAGGCAACAAGAGAGGAAAAATGAAAAGTCTTAATTAAACTGTACTTATTTCAATATTTTTATATTTTCCCTTCATCCATATTCTCTTTCTTAATCTGCTTTCCCAAAGTGGAAGAAGAAATGGCAAATAATTCTTCTTTCCTTCTCTCTTTCCCTAATCCTACTGTATCCAATATTGGCTTTCCTTTGAAGAGTAGCAAGCCTCAATCTCTAAAGGCTTAGTAAGACCTAGTGCTTGTAACCTCAACTTTGGATTTTTAAAGTACTTTAAATCAATTTCTGAAAGAATTTATATATCAAATTTTGGAAGAGTATACCCACTTATATTTTCTAGAAGATTGTTACTTCCTATCCCTGCTGTGTTTTCTATTATTTTCCTTTGTGAAGATCAGACATCTGTGCCAGAGGATTTCTCAAAAAGTGATGTTCTCACACAGTCAACATGGAGGGGCTCTATTCTGCCAATTTTCCTGATACACTTTAAATTCAGAGTAATGATGCATTCTTCTTTTGCTGTGGAGTCTTTTTGTTGTTGTTATTTTATATTAGGTTGAAGCAAGGGATTGATAGAATATTTCTTTATACTCCAGTTGCTACTTATGTGCAACGTGGTTTTTTTTTCATTTCTAAAGGATTGAAAATGAAATCTAAAATGCCTACCTGTCTCTGATATAAGTTTGTCAGAATTTCCTCTTTCTGAAGACAGATTCCCCACCTATTATCCTCTAACATCGTCCATCCTCTTCACTTCTTTTTGGTCATAGACTTCTTTGGCAGTCTGAAGCCTATGCACCCACTCTCAGAATAATGTTTTTGAAAGCATAAAATAAAATGAATAGGAGTACAAAAGGAAACCAATTCTATTGAAATTCAGTTATAAATTTTTTTTTCCAAAAAAAAAAGTTCTTGGGACCCCAGGTTAAGAACCTCTACCATGATATTATCACCAACTTGCACCTGTAGGCCTCTGACTAGTCAATCTCTAGTAACCCAGTTGCCAACTCCTGTCTGAGAAGCAAATATTGAAACCTCTTGGGTAAGGCAAAAGATGCCTCAATTTAATTTCTCCTTTCCTCTGGTTCATTGCATCTGTTCTTTGAACCAGAGCATTTTCTAAACTTGTTCATGGGTACTTTCTAGTTCTTTACTTAGTCTGTAACCCATAGCTTTAATGTCTGACTTCTGCCTTTCAATCCCAGACCTGTCTTGATTTGATTTTCTCATTCTTGGTTTCTCATATTGTGTCTATAAATCTTAGCATGCTGGCTATTATAGGAATAAACAAACCTTTCATCTACATCAATAACATCTGTTTATATTCATGTGGTTAATAGTGCCTTTGAAATGTGAATTAGCCAAAAATATGCTTATACTTAGAGCCTTGAACCCTATGGGAAAGGAAGGTGCTGTGACTCCATTTACAAAAAAAAGTGTAAAAATCCCCATCCTTTTGAGTACATATCATAGTCTGGACAACAAGCATTCTTTAACTTCTCAAAAAAATGAAATTGGCTATCTCTTAACAGATAGAAAAAGACTGGTTACTGGAAGTCATTTCAGAATCAGCTGTCTGGGTCTATCAGATAGATAACCAATTAGTTGGATCATATGTCAAATGTCAAAATCAACACTAAATTAGAAAAAAAAAAGGACAAAAATGAGATGATACCAGGTGTGATTTCAGTAGCTCCAAAATGACCTGCTTAAATAAGTAGCTAACAATGAAAAATGAGTAGACAAAAATGGCCAAAGACATTGATTTTTACACTATGTCTTGGAGAAGCTTAATCAATGCAAAATAATCACCACATTAAGGTCCAAAAGAACTCAGAACTTTCCTCAGATAGCAAATACTTGACTGACTGACTAAGCAAAGAGATATAGCAATCAGCATCACTGCTAGTTTACAGCATAAATTAATTTGAAAAGCATAATGAGAAGGCGAGTGGAAGATAATGAGTAAGACTACCTCACAAAACAGTGAAAAAGCAATAAAGAGGAAAACAAACCAGAAAACCAAAGAGGCCAGATCATCACAAAAGATGCATAGATGCATGGGCCTGGAATCAGAAGACCTGAGTTCAAATCCAGCCTCACACACTCACTAGCTGTGTGACTCTGAGGAAGTTACTTAACCTCTCTTTCTCTCAGTTTTCTCAACTATAAAATAGAGATAATAGCACCTACTTCCTAGAACTGTTGTGAGGGTCAAATGAGACAATATTTGTAAAGTACTTAGCATCGTGCCCGGCACACAGTAAGTAGTATACAAATGCTAAGTCTCATCATGA